CAGATGTCGCATTCATAAGACATGTTTACTTCTCAAGAGTCAGTGTAAAATGATTTAAAGCAAGAGTGAAGAGATGTATTTATCCCGTTGGTTATTGTCGCGTCTATAAAAACTATTGTAAAGACTATGAAAGACTATAGTCCTGACTATGAAAGACTATAGTCCTGACTATGAAAGACTATAGTAAAGACTATGAAAGACTATAGTCCTGACTATGAAAGACCATAGTCCTAACTATGAAAGACTATAGTCCTAACTATGAAAGACTATAGTCCTAACTATGAAAGACTATAGTCCTAACTATGAAAGACTATAGTCCTAACTATGAAAGACTATAGTCCTAACTATGAAAGACTATAGTCCTAACTATGAAAGACTATAGTCCTGACTATAAAGACTATAGTCCTAACTATGAAAGACTATAGTCCTAACTATGAAAGACTATAGTCCTGACTATGAAAGACTATAGTCCTAACTATGAAAGACTATAGTCCTAACTATGAAAGACTATAGTCCTGACTATGAAAGACTATAGTCCTGACTACTATAGTCCTAACTATGAAAGACTATAGTCCTAACTATGAAAGACTATAGTCCTGACTATGAAAGACTATAGTCCTGACTATGGAAGACTATAGTCCTAACTATGAAAGACTATAGTCCTAACTATGAAAGACTATAGTCTTTCATATTTAGGACTATGGTCTTTCATAGTCAGGACTATAGTCTTTCATAGTCTTTACAATAGTCTTCATAGACGCGACAATAACCAACGGGATAAATACACCTCTTCACTCTTGCTTTAAATCATTTTACACTGACTCTTGAGAAGTAAACATGTCTTATGAATGCGACATCTGCGGTAAAACGTTTGCAAATGCGAGTAATCTCCTTCGACACAAGAAGGTTGTCCATGCATATGGATCTAGTAATCTTGGGCAGCAAACTCTCACGGTGAATGGGGTTACAGTCATGCAGCATCCCTTTACATGCATCGTTGCAGGATGTACCCAAAGCGGCAAAACCGTATGGGTGAAATCTCTCTTGGAGAATGCTCAAACGACTATAAGTCCTACTCCTCAACGTATCATTTGGTGTTATGGTCAATGGCAACCGTCCTATTTTGATATGATGAGGATAATGCCTGGAATCGAGTTTAATGAAGGCATCCCCGACGATATCGACAATGCGGATTACTTGGACGTATCGCAACGGAATTTGATCGTATTGGATGATCTTATGGCTCAATCTGGCAAAGATAAACGTATTTCCGATCTTTTTACGAAAGGAAGTCAAGTCATCATCGAAATTTATCTATCATCTATATTGTTCAAAATATATTTCATCAAGGCAAAGAAATGAGAAATATTAGCCTAAACGCGCATTATATCGTATTGTTCAAGTCACCAAGAGATAAACAACAAATTTCTATACTTGCAAGGCAAATAAATCCCGGCAAAGTACAAGAGTTTATGAGGAGTTATGAAGATGCTACGAGCCGGCCTTACGGATATTTGATGTTGGATTTAAAGCCGACAACGAGTGACCAAGATCGACTCAAGACAAATGTATTTCCCGGCGAGATTGCAAAGTTTTTACACAAACAGTCGTATCGTCAACCACCACTTGGAAACGCAATGTATGATGCCGAACAGAGAATGAAAGAAATCATGGATGCACCACAGCTTAGCGCAGTGGAAAAAAGCAAATTATACCCTGATCAACTAAATCGGTTTTTGACATTCAAAAATAAGATGGATGTTCCGACTCAAGTTCCTATTCAGACAACTCCATTCGTGCCTGCAGAGATGCCACAACCCAATGAATCTGTCGAGATAGCACCACCAGTGCCTGCTACACCTAAACCTAATTTCCTTACACCACCACCAACAGAAGAGGAGCGGCCAAAACTCAAGCACAACTTTTTCCATAATTGGGTAGACTCTACAGATTGGAGGCCCCAAGATTTGGCAATGATGACCCTTGAACAAAGAGAAGGTTACGAACAAAGATTACTTCGCGAGAGGCCGAAATATATTCCAATGAAGAATGAAGATGTTGCAAGGTTATCCCCAGAAGATAGACAAGAATATGAGAACTCTTTAAAAATAACAAAAACACCTAGACGTTACGCTCTTAGAAGTAGACCGTACTAAATTTTGTAAAACGTTTTGAAGAAATAAATTTAAAAACTGAAATATTGTGTAAATTTTTGCCGGCAAAGCCCGCTCTTTCCGCCCGCGCGATCCGCCCGCCTGATTAGTGTACAAATATGTTGAACGTTAATATATGCATGCACGCAAGCGTCGCTAATGACTTAGCAACAAATAACAACGTATATAACGATTACATGTTTTTATTGCAAAATATATTACAACTGTTCCAATTCTAACTTATGTTCTTGATAAGCTTACTTATGATCTGACTCGGTCATCTTAACAGTATATATGTATGTAGAATATTTGCTAAAATAACGTTGAACAACATGTAAATATTGACCTTAACAACGACGTTGACAACTCGGGATTAGAAACTGTTTAGTTTAAAATATGTCTAAAATATATTTAAAATATGATTTTTGTGACGAATAGATTCCTTATTTGCCCTCGTTCGTTTTCGTTCATCATGAGGCAATCATGTTGTCTTTGACTAGGATGACCGACTTGACAACCATTACAGGATTCCACACAAAGTCTTTCAACTTTTGGCTGCAAAGCGTTCCTGTCTTGTCTAAATCGCTTTCTCTCTTCCCGCACGGATAACCCGCGACGCCCGCGCAATGAATATCCTAATCTACACGTATTTATCCACACAGTAGAAAAATGCAAATCTCTGATAAAAGTTAATCCTTTAATTAGTTTCACCCTAACAACACATAGCAACCGGTGTGCTTTAATATAGCTTAAATTTATTAACCTTATCCGATCCGAGTTTTAGTACTTTAAAAAACTACCACTAAAATATAGAAATCGCTTGACAATTATATATCATAACCTCTAATTTCCATGTGTTTATATAACTCTAAACAGCAACATATTCTCTCGTATATAGACCTCATATGGCAGACCGGGATTTAAATATTAGTTTAATTGTAGATACATAACTCTTTACCGCATGCTATTTCTCAGCGTTTTGACGCTTGATAATATTTATATATTACTTAACAACAAAACATATAGCTGTATACCCCGAACATATAAGTTTTAGATATATAACACTAATGCTATTTCATATAATATCAGATTTTTTACTCATCTAGGAGCTAAATTAAAGGAATCACTTGACAATAACAGCAAAATGCTAGAGCTGTACTTATAAAACTCCAGACAACAACATATTCTCTTGTGTATAGCCCTAACTATTGTATCATACACGTGGAGGGACGCTAAAAAATGCGTAGTCAGCAAATTTTGTCCAATTTCGCCCGGACAGGCCCGCGTGACGTCACTACGCACCCTCACTTGTGCGGCCCCCTTAATTACCTGCATACGCCGCCCCCTTGCATAGTAATTACCTGCATATATAATGATGCGGCCCCCTTGCGGCCCCCTAAAAATAAGGCCCGAAAACCACATACTATACTACTTAAATTATCACTCGCCTTCGGCTCGTGTTATATATTCATCACAACACGGTCGCTTGTGTTGTAAACATTACTAGTGACATTATCTTAAAATGACTGTCTTTTTCTTTCAAAGGATCAAATACCAATCCTAGGAATTTCGCCGGGCAAGGAACTGCAGGTATGTTTAATTAATTGCATTAATATATAATTAATTAATATATTAGGAATTCGCTGGGCTGCATGTTCGATTCCTTCCAATGGAAATTTCCATCTACAAACCCGTCAATATATTACCCATGCACAAATGTAATCCGTTTTTGAAAAATGTTAGATAGTTATAAATAGCGCACACGTACAGGTAATTGACCAAAAATCAATTCATTTTTAAACAAAATCCAATAGCTTCTCTTAATTATTAATAATCTATTATTTAAATCAACTGTTGTGATGTACAGGTTTATTCTCGATCCTGGTAGTAACTACGTCGGATAAATAACACCTACAAGAACTTTTAGATAAACCGGAAACAAAAAACAAAATCAAAGGCCGTTGAGGCCCACTCATGGATAAGATCAAGCAAAAGTGACAGAAAGAATTAGAGCAGTTTGCAGTTGTTTCGCAAACCGGACACCTCGCCATTTCACACAGTTGGCAAATCAAAAGAACGATCGCGTGATCCAGCCCGATTTCCTGTTGTGAAAGGCCCGATTCGTTTTCAAACAGTGCGCGCGAAGCAGGCTGGTTATTTCCCATTGTTTAACTGTCCCACACTCAAGCAACCGCAAAGAGCACAAAGGCAAAAGAGCAGAGCGAAAACGACAAAAACAATCACAACGGCAAAGACAGACAGGGACAACGACACCAGCAGTAGCATGAGCAACAGCAGCAACGAAAATTGTAGCAATGACAATGACAACTTGACGCAGAGACTTATGTTCAATATTTCACGTACATATTTTTAAATCCATGGACATACGGATTATTTTTTCCTGTCCGTGATCCCAGATCCCTAACGTAAATGGAGCCTTCTGATCGGTTGGCGAGGTCCATATCATACGATACGAACCTCTCGCACACGTTACGTACCTCTCACATCTCGCGCCAAAACAAACCGGAGGAGCGGAACAATTTTCAAACCCAAAAAAATAATCCAAAATAGCTGAAATTAAGGCCCTCCCTGTCGATACTAAAGATAAAAAATAAGCTGAACTGACTTCAATGTATTTAGTGTCAAGCCCGAAATGTAGGCCTACTGTTTTCCGAAAAATTAGTGCCAAATATTTAGTTTCAAAAGCTCAGCATATAATTTATGCCCAGCTCGTCATATTTCGAAAAACATACGTTACAATACAAATACTGAAACCAAGGACTTAGCCTCAAACATAAAAAATTAAAAAAATACCTTACAGCACGTTACAGGTAAACTGCGCGAAGCGTCCTCTTTTGACTTCCTAACTCATTGGGAATTTTCCTCACTAGCTTTGCAAATTTGAAAAACTCTTTGCAAATATATCCCATGAGGGAATTTGCAATATTCCTATGTGCGTTGAAATTATTGCAATGCAAAAAACTCCATTGTAAATTTTCCTACCTTCCTGTTTTAATTTCCTGACTTCCTGTTCTGTTCTGAGCGTTGTTATTCGTGGATTATTTTTGTTAGCCAATTGCAACGCGCAGAACAGGGCAGGAAGTTAGGAACTTGTAACAGGAAGTTAAGAACTTCTAACAGGAATTGAGGAATATTTTATCGGCTTTTAGCAACATTGCAACATGTACTTTTTAATGCAAAGGTAATGCGGAAAATTGCAATCAATTTAGAAACTCAAAAGAGGAACGATTCACACGTAGTTTTCCTGTAAACGGAATTCTAAACATGATTTCGTGCCTCATTTCAGTCATATAATTCGTTTTTATATATTGTTAATTGTCTTTGTTGTCGGCAAGTGCAATTTATTGCTGCGTGTCGAAAGAACATTTTTGAAACATGTTATTAGGCTAAAACGATCAGAATAAATAATTGTCTTTATGCATCAAAAATAAAGAATTTTATCGTGTTGTTTTTTGGACTAAAGTAATTTAAATTGAAATAAACAAAGTTAACACAACTGATCTCAAATCTAATTCGCCACTGGAGTTTTTTAGGAATTTAATTAAGCATCGCGCAAAAATTAATAATTTATAAGTTATTTGAAAAATGTTTAGTTTTCCTTCAGTCTCAGAAGCCTCCCACGACCTTCGGTCTCGGGCCGCTTTTGAGACCGAGGGAAATATTTTTCAATACGGACCTCACAGCAAGTAAACTTTCATTATTTACTCCTTAATTTCTACATAGGTACAGATCGACACAACATGGTGGAAATGGAAGACCCTTCTGTGAACTATCCTTTAACCTCGGGAAAACCGTTAACAATGTTCACTAACGCTAAAATCATTTGGTCAAGTCATAAAAGAACGAAGACTAAACAAGATCTCGTTACAAGTATGGCTTCCTCTGGGTACTACGACAGCGTTTCGCACTATAAAGCTTTGGTAGCACAGAATAAAGCACTTAATGATGAGTTAAACAACGCTCCAGCATCGTATCGTGGTATGCTATTGAGGTTTGCACCGGGTGAACATTACTACATGTGTACAAGAAACAACAACTTCAGTAATCGTGACCAGAAAGGTAGACTTGGGGTCCGACCATGAAGCTGTTACGGACTATCAACTCAAGCTACATTGTCTCCTGGTTCTTTGTAGTCACGGGAAACTGGTTTGATATAGACATTGCATGAGATTAAATTTAAATTTGTATCTTTAGAAATAACCGAAACTGTACTGTATTTTGCATGCAACTTTTCCTAACTATTTGTTTATGGCTAATAATTGTTAAGTACAAAATAATTAGACTGAATTTCCTTCTTTAAGGCTGCATATTTATCTTTTATAGTATTTTACCCTACCCATGACCTCTCACTTCATTGATATAGCAAAGTAAAGTTTCTCAAAAACCAAACAAGTATCGAGAGACTCTAAAATTAACAATCGATACATGCATTATTCTTTCAAACTTGATAAGCCCAAATCACTGTAAACTATTGCGGATGTCCGATATGTATTTGCTCAACTGAATTTTTGCCTACACAATCAATTGTACTCACTGCTTTTTGAGAATAGAGAACGTTTTATCTGCAACTATTCACCCTTAGTTGCAACCGACGGTATTTGACAGCATAAAATTGCCTGTGATAACTGATATAAATAAAACACAGTCTGGTTATACTGACTTGAGCGTGTGATGACAAACTCTTTACTGGAAAATTGTGAAGAAATAGTCGAATATAGAGGGTCGAATATCATACTTTAACTTGTATAGCTACAGTATCATTGGTACATAGCGTTGTGAAGACAAGCCTTTGCTTACCTTTCGCTTCAGCAGTTTTTTTTCCATGTTGCTCTACGCTTTCCCAGGCGAGCTTCTCTTTCCTCAGCAGTCTCCTCGAGCAAACGTTGTCGTCTTCGCTCCCTCCTTTTCGCTAGATGCTCGGCTTTCTTGTCGTTTCCTTGCCGCTCTTCATTTGGCTCCATATCCTTTATCAATTGGTATTTGATACCGTAATTGTTTTATTAAACTTTTTATACAACAAATTGCTTTGAAAGCTGTCAAAGTTTTTTGCAAACTTACAAAATACTGTAGTGCAAAAAGCAGATTATTTTCATGAAGTATCTGTCTGTTAAAGTTGTCATTTGTCATACAACAACAAATTTTAAATTTGACCAATCAGTGTTCGCTATCCACGACAGTCCGCCATATTTTTGAGATCAGTGAGGATGACCACCCACTCAAGTTCGTTGATCACGCCCGCGATACTTGATGAACTTTAGACTTGGCTAATGCTTTCGTTTTCCCGGGTGTAAATAGCTGGGGGGAATTAATACCCTCGCACGGCGCTTCGCGCAGTCTGCTCGGGGATAACGCAAAGGTAGGTAGCTGTGACGCCGGGCGAACTTGGGCAAGAAATTATTTTCAACAAACTCGCCTATAATATATTGCCAAACGCTTCTAAAGCCGTGGCTACACATATCTATGTTTATTCAATCTCCCCAACTTGTAAAATCCTTTCCCTCACTTTTCCTTGAAGAATTAGAACAACTATTAGTAAACAAAAGTACTTTCTCCGCACACGTGATCGAGTCGATCTGCCCTGGAACCAAACCATTAAAATTTGAATTTTTCAAACTTTTTAACCGCATCTCTCGTTAAAATATTTCTCCTCAACCCTCCTGATCTATAGCCTGCTCACAGACGTTGTAGTTCTTACGCCAAGCGACGAAATACTACCGTCTGCTTACCCGGAATTTACCTTCCAAATTCTGGAAAGTGACGTAAGTTGATTTAGGAGCGGAATAAATATAAATATATGTTCTGAAAGCAGTCGTCGGTTGAATTTTGGTCAAAAGTGCACATAAATTGAATTTAAAAGATACTGATACTTGTCCAGGTAATAAAATGCACCATTAATGATCAGATTTGGATATTAAAAATGTTCGGTTATATTTAAAACGCGGACAGGATTGGCATATTTATACTGTAAGAATCTTAATATCCAGACAGCATCAAAAGCCGAATATATTTCGCTGAAATTTTAACGGTTTATCTTTATAAAGACAACAGAACTCGGAAGACAGAAAATTTTATATAATACTGTGGCTTAGGAAGCGAAATATTAGCTTCAAAGTTAACTAATTTGCTGTTTGAGCAACCACTTCTGAATGTAAACTGTAAACACAACACAAACCCGAGAAACTTGTATTAAAATTGCGCCGTGATAAATTTTCCAATTCGCTCAAAATTCGAAACGTTTATACTTTAACTTGGCTATACTTTTCTACATAACGATGAGAGCTTAATCTTTTAGAAGTTTTCGTCGAAGTCATGGCATATACTGTAGGAAGTATCAAGAGAAACATTTGGACTAGCCCGCGTGCAGGCCCAAGAGAACTGATAGTGGGCCTGCAAGCAAGGCCCGGTATTTTGTACTTTCCGCGTTCGCCCACGAACGCGGCATTCTGATTGGCTGTTTCCTGTTGGATTCTATAATTAGGTCAGTGATTCATCACAAAGGCACAGACAAAGGCTCTCGATAAGCTTAAAATTCGAAAATTGATCACTTTTTTCGATTACAAATGGAACAAGAACAGACTGTTTATTGTTTACTTGAAGGAAGAGATGTTTTTGCCGCTATGCCAATGAGGATTGCTTCTCGTGAGGTGTTTGGATTAGCAACATTTAATACGACTGGGGTAAACTATAGTAACCTTTACTTGAGTTTCATTAATTTCAAACAGACTTGATACGTACATGTTCCACAAAAAAATTATCTTTTGGTTGATGTTGAGATGCAGTTGTATGTAAGCCTATTCAAAATACTTTGCGATTTACAAGTCTTCGCTGAGAAAGCAAAACAGAAGACGGTATTAAATTGCCGTTTGAAAGGAAACGATCTGGACTCTGAACGCTCTCTTCTTTTGTAGAGTTCTCACCAAATGAAATGACTGAAATAAATTTCGTACTTTCCGCCACCAACAAGAAGTGAGACAATTTAATTATAACAATGGCGATAGCGAAGCACACATTATAAATGCTGATGTGGTCGCACGACTTCCCTCACGATTTGAAGTTTGAGACTGGTTTTCTGTTGAAATTCGTCTTAATTTGCCTGTTCCGATTTTAGTTGAAAATGAGCACTTGTAAATTTGGCAATTACTGACTGCGTTGCTTGCTTTTTTGGAGTTTTAACACAGGCATTTACACATTGTTTCTATTTTGAATATTAAAGCAGAGAAAACCCCGCAACATTTTAATGCGAGTTTGTTTGTTAATATTTGGGTTGCTGTCATTGGTTCTTTTTTGACAATTGACGCGCGAATGGGGCGTGTTATGAAAAGGGGCGTTTTACAAAATACTGGGCCTTGCTTGCAGGCCACTATCAGTTCCCTTGGGCCTGCACGCGGGCTAGAGATTTGTATTCTTTTGTTCTGTTTGAAATTAATGAAACTCAAGTAAAGGTTACTATAGTTTACCCCAGTCGTATTAAATGTTGCTATTCCAACACCTCACGAGAAGCAATCCTCATTGGCATAACGGCAAAAACATCTCTTCCTTCAAGTAAACAATAAACAGTCTGTTCTTGTTCCATTTGAAATCGAAAAAAGTGATCAATTTTCGAATTTTAAGCTTATCGAGAGCCTTTGTCTATGCCTTTGTGATGAATCACTAACCTAATTATAGAATCCAACAGGAAACAGCCAATCAGAATGCCGCGTTCGTGGGCGAACGCGGAAAGTACAAAATACCGGGCCTTGCTTGCAGGCCCACTATCAGTTCCCTTGGGCCTGCACGCGGGCTATTGTTCTTTTTAACGCATTGGGAATTCTTTTAGATTTTGTTTTAACATTATAAAAGCTACAGAACTTGTTCGGTTGCGATTGAACAGAATCTGCCTACATGTAGGTGGTTAAATAAGCTTGATATTTCTTATTGACTAGTCTCTTGATGTCTCTTCTTAAATGGTTAAATCGTTCAATATATACCGGGTTCTTAGTACGAAGCGCTTTACGGCTGGTTTGATCCTTTCTACAGAAATTCTTAACTTCTCTGTCAATCCAAGGGGCAGTTTGTTTATTTTTGACTTGTTCTGTTGGAATGAATTCATTTATAGCCGCCCACAGGAGATCTTCACATTTAATGAGGTTTTGATTTAGGTTTTCGTCCAACACTATAGCCACGTGCCAGGGAATATATAATAAAGTTCGTTTTAATTCATCCCAATCAGCTTTTTTATAATTGAAGACTGTTATTTTACCGGTACTTTTGTAATTTATATGTTGCCCATTTTGATTTTAAATAAGACACTTCGATGGTCAGAGTCAACTAAGCTTTCAATTACAAATAACTCGAGGATTAAATTGGTAAGGATTAAATATAATATATTGTCATTCCTTGTCGGTTCAGTGTTATTATTTGAATCCATATAAGTTCACAATCGGACTCTAAGTCATACCTTCGAAAACTATGATTTTTCGTGGGCAGTAAAATTTTCTGTCTCGTCTGTGAATATCATATCCAGATGATAAAATTTCTTTGTCATCAACACTTTCATCCAGCCACGTCTCGGTGACTGCAATAATATCGAGAAAAATGCCTTTTGCAACATAATAATTTAAATGAGCATCAGTTAATTAAGGTGGCTCCCTACAGTTCTCTAAAATTTTAAATATTCTAGGTAACGTTTGTTTTCGACGAAATATATATTGAATACACTTAAGAACAACATGATCGTTTCCAGGAAAGTTCAGAAGTCTTGTGCTATTGATATGCTGTATAAACTAATAGAAATGTTATTACTGTTGCCATGATAACGATGACGCTTTATCTTTAGCACTTTTACTGTCTTATTTTACAATCAAATAACAATTAATTAAATCATTTTTCTCCATCGGTCAATTTTTACAGAAAATCTGTCCTGTTTAATTTCTTGCAATTTAGTTGATGTTTTACTATCGTCATGCTTAGCAAGTGTACTAAGTTTAAAAATATTCGCACAAGGAAACGCTAGTAAACGTTTCATTAGTTTAGTTTTGTTTAGTTTAGTTTTGTTCAAATTACGCAATTCACCCGGCCGGCCGCTGTGTAATTTTGCTAATTTTGTAATTAAACTATCCATCTAAAAACAATCTATCTATCGAAAATCGGTGTGAAAACTTTTCAAACCTTTCAACTAGAGTTTGGCTTTTCGTACGAAACAAATCATAACTGTCTGCCCTATTGTTTTATTAGATTCAGCAGATACAACACTACATATGAATTGAATTGAATTGAATGACAGGATCGACTTGAGTAAGTTTCGGTGACAGTTCAGGAGCGCCTTAAAGACAGTATAAAATAAAATATCGTTTCAATCCGTGACATTGTTGTTGGAAATTGTGGGCATTGTAAAATACACTACTGAACGTATTAAATACGAAAAAGCACACTGAAAGCAAGGCATTTTTTAATAACATGGACTGGTGGGGCATTTTTCCCATTGGGCCCCTTCCTCTG